CTTTCCCCCCGTGCCTTCTTGCAAAAAACAGCCTGCAGCACCCTGACAGCTGTGGACCCGCCTCCAAAGCTTCTTCTCTTTCGGTCATCTGAGCCACCCTTCTGCCATCTGACAGCCTTTCCATTTGGCTTGCTGACAAATGTCCCATGGAAAGGCCTTTCACCTGGATTTCCAATCTCCCCCAACTCTTTCCTGTCCAGTGTTTCAACATAGCAAGGGGACCTTTCCCCAAACTTGCAAAATGGTGGCTCATTTCCAAAGCACGTCTTTAGAATTCGGCTCCCAAATCATCCGTAGTGAACCCTGTGCATTCTGACCTCCGAAAGAGAATCCCTTAACCAGAAGCCATTGAGATTTTCAGTACCTATCGATCTATTTTTACATGACCCTTGGGATTTTTGTTGTTGTTGTTCCATTCAGTTTAGCTCACTGAGAGGGTCAGAAATGTTACTGGAAGCGCATGACTAAGCTTTGGAAATTGACCGGGTGGACAGCGTTTTTAAGAAAACTGCTTAAATCACCTTTGTGACCGTGAACCTGGGATGGGCTGTAGTTGTTCACAGCTGACCCTGCTTAGTTAAAAATAGTAGAGGGCTGGGTTTTCTCTCCGTGCCTGAAATAGAGCTGAAAGCATGCGGGCCAGACAGCTGGGCCGTCCTGGAGTTCACCACGGGGCTCAGACTGAAGGTAGATTTTTTTTCTTTTTCTATTCCCGAAGAATGGACCCAGGGACTTCTCACTAAGCCACATCTGGCTGCTTTCTAACGTTCTGTTTCAGACATCCTACTTTGAGGCGGGGCTTTGACCAGTTGTCCAGGCTGGGCTTGAATTTGCAATCCTCCTGTCAGCCTCCTGGAGGCCAGGGGTGAGTACTGGATTTTAATTTTCAGAAATTTTGATTATTAAAGTACCGAAAACAATGAAAATGAGTAAGATCACATTAAAATTCATGTATTGGCAAGAATATCTGGATATCAGGTTTTCTAAGCCTGCACACACCTACAGTCTTTTAAAAAATCAGTTAGTGTTGATAAATTATGCTCTGTTTCTTTGTATAAATAAAGGGTTTATTTGGAAAATAAGCAACGGTTATTTCACTCAGGGAGTGATAAATTAATTGATCAAAGAATAGCAATTTAGATATCTAACACAAGAAATGGGGCTTTGTCTCAGCGGTAGCATGCTGGCCTGGAGGGTACAAAGACTAAAAAAGTCGTATTGAGAAGTTCAGTTCATGACTGGATAAGAACCGCATCAACTGAATGGTTAGTTTCAATACTGACTTGATGGGGGAATTTGATTTGGTTCTCGTCCAATAGGGTTTACGACCAGAATCGTGGAAAGAATTAAATTCATGAACCGAGGCACCATTGTCCATAAATGTGCACGTCAAGCCAACAAAATGATGTTCGCATTAGGAAAATCTCACACCAGTAAGAGTTATGTTAGCAACAGTGATTTTGATTATACCTTGTAGTTTACTAGGAAAATACAAAGACGATACATGTTGGAAATAAATACCCTACACCTGTGCACACGTACGTGGTTTTTGAGGGCAGTAAGGTGCCTATGAACACACACTCAGCTTTCCAAGAGCAAATGGGGACAGTCGTGTACTGCAGACCCTACTATGACCCCTCGAGGCTCAGGTATCGGAAGATCAAGTCAGGAAACTCAGAATCTAAGGTGGGCGTAAAGCAGTCTGCCCCAGAATCCTGGTGTGAATTCAGGCACCGTCAATCCGTGAACGGCTGTGAAATTGGCTTTGTTAGTCGGGTTTCTGCGACTACAATGAAAAGCCTGAGACCATCGAGTAATAAAGAAGAAAGGTTTTCATGACTCCCAGGCTGGGCTTCAACTTGTGACAGCCCTGCCTCAGCCCCTCAGAGTGCTGGGATTATAGGTGGGCAACATTGCTCCCCACTCGGCAGTCCGAAAGTGGCTGTTCGTGGTGTTCTTTGATGCCCTTTCTGCTCTCTTTGGGAACTCAGAGGCGTGTAGCATGGGTTCTGCCTGAACCATTGAGGAACTTACACAAAGGTCTCCAATGGACGTCTGTGTGTATTGGAGCAAGCGAGCAGGAAAGGGTCAAGGACAGAGGGACAGTGACATAAAGAGGGGAGCCTCCTCACACTCAATGCTCACCCCCAGGAGAGGCTCAGAAGACAGTGGAATCGGCAGCTTCGGTCTAACAGGTTGGTACCGTGCTCTGCTCTTGTCCTGGTGCACAAGGACTTGGGTGAGCTGGTGTGACCTCTGCTAATGAAGACCCCTTACCCGCAAATCCAAATGTAAACTGCAGCAATCCTGGGGATCCAGCCGGCCCTGGTCACCTCAGTGGGGGCGCTCTCCCACTCACCGGTGTCCTAGCTAAACCGTTACCTGTCACTCACCACGGGGCTGCAAAAAGTGAGGGTGCCCAGATGGCCCACGGAAGGAGAGACTCACGATTGCCCCCTTTCCAAAGTGAAAGTCACCCTAAAGCTGACAAATGCGGCAACGTCCACCCCAGGCCCATGCCCGTGCCCCTACTTCGTATTTCTGTATCCTGTGTGACTACGTAGCAAGACCGTGTCTCGGACAATTTGGGGTGAACGTTTCAGTAGAATATTTATGACACTGCACAACATATTGCTATTAATGCCCCTCAAGATACTGAAAATACTCCCACTTTGTCTGAACACACTTACCCCATCCTTCTTGGCAATCTGTGTTTTATTGTATTTTTTTAACAAAAGTTTAACATTCACCTTTTTTGTTGATTATCCCTTGTTCGTATGAAAGAAATAAAAAAAAAATAAGTGAACTTTTCCCTGGGGCATGATGTTAATAATAGTTCAAGCGAAATATTTTCTCTTGCTGTTTTAGGGCAAAATTTTTCTGATGAGTTTGGTTGTGATTTGAATGTCTGTGCGTGCGTGTGTGTGTGTGTGGTTTAATATTATGCAAGGAGAGGCATCAACACTTGGAAGCCTCCATAAATCACTGGGCTGATACTCTTCAAATAACCCATGTGTGATATTGCAAAATCATTAGTGCATAAAGGCCCAGGCAGAAATTTGGAATAAACCGGCACGTTTTGACATTCTGGAGTATAAAAATTCAATAACATTAAAAACATTTTAATTTTTTCTGCAGGAGATATTAACAAAGCAAAGGAGTTTTGGCTACGATCACTTTTTAAAATGGGAAAATGTTCTGTGACCAAAATATTTTATAATCTGCTACATACCAATGAGGTACTGGTATCTAAATGTAACAGAAAACCCAACTCAGGTGCTTGAACCAACAAAAATAGCATCCCATAAACAAGACGTAGCCAGATTTGGGGCCTCTGGTGTGGGATAATTTGAGAACTTTGTGTAGTGCTGCCGTATCTGATTTCTTTGTATTTTGGCTCCACATTTTACTCATGATGCAACACAGCTGCTTTAGCGCCGGCCATCGCAGTCCCTCCCATTAATATCCCGAGGCCAATTAAGACCATTTCCTCTGAAATTTCAATTTTGAAATGCTAGCACACTTCTCATCCATCGACGCACAAAGCATACACAGTCCCTATGTAAAACTGATCCAACGAGAAAGCATGAATGTTGCAGAAGAAAAAACACACCCCAATTTTGGCAAGAAGGAGAGAAAAACGGAGGTGGAATGGGTAGCCAGTAGCGTGTGCTGAAATTCTTCTGCTCACTTTCCTGCCCGGTTATTTGGAAGCAGTTTGTGTTTTTCACGTTATTGTACCTAGGACGGCGGTACCTCGGTCCACACCGGAGGCCGGATGTTTACCCGCAGCAGAGGCCCGGCCACTGTGTGGACCGCAGGCCTGCTCCGACCCTTCCCGGGACCCGCCTCTCGTCTTTTACGATCATGCCCGAGACCTTTGACACCCTCGTGCCTGATGCAAACGAATCCTTCTTTGGCTTCGGAGTTGGAAAACATCCCCCCCGCCCACCACCCCGGGCCGCTGAATGTGGCCAAGGTCCGCCTGCTGCTCTCTCCTCCGAGGGCCACGCAGACTTCGGCCTCCGTGCGCCTGACACGAACACGCCCGGGCCGGCGGCTCCTCTGCGCTTAGACTCGGACTCGCTCTTCGCCCCACGACCCCAGGCCGGCTGGGCCGGTCGCCTCGCGTATCCCGCGACCATGTCTCCTTTTCCCCTCGTGCCCAGGATGGAACCCAGGGCCTTTGCTCTAGCTGCATTCCCGGTCCCTCTTCAATTTTTTAAAATTTGGAGACAGGATCTTGCTACATCGCTAAGCTGCCCAGGCTGGGTTGGAACCGGAGCTCCTCCTGCCTCAGCCTCCCAGAGGGTCGGGATGGCAGGCCTGCGCCACCACACCCAGCTGACTCCTCTCCGCTCTCCGAGGGCCTGAGCTCCTTTCTGTCAAACCAACTCTGGCCTCGGAAGCCCCATCTGCCCCATCCCTGCTGACCCGCGACTCCTGGACACTGAGCCGGCCACAGGGCAACGAGCGGCTGCTGGACCCAGGAGGCCCCGCGTCCCTGAAACACCGCCCTGCACACCCTGAGACCCTGTGGGCCCCGGCGGAGGTGCCTGCTCCCCGAGGGAGACCCGGCCGCCAGCGTGGCTGATGGCCCTCCCTCTACCACTCTCCGTGGCTCCCGTGTGCCCCGCCCAGTGAGCACCTGCCGCTCCCCCTTCCTCCCTTCTCGGTCCCTTCCAACGCGCGTGTCCAGGAGGCCTGGCCGTGGGGCAGAGGCCCTGGGCATCTGGGCAGCCTGGCCTGGCGTGCACGCGCAGGGCCTGGCAGTGCACTTCCGGCTGCGGGGGTCTGGAGACGGCGACCCAGGGGCGGCATCGCCGGGGACACGGGCAGGACCGGGGATCAGGGGAGCTGGGTTCCGGTCACACGAGCGGGGCGCGCGCATTCATCCGTTCAGCCACTGTGGGGGCAAATCCACGTGTTCCTTCATTGCACGCACGCACGCACGCACTTTGACTCTTCAGGCACCAGCGCGCCCCGCCCCCGCCCCCGCCCGCGCTGCACTCCTCTCCCAATGGCGCACGCGGGTCCTGTTGCACGGGCGCCGCCCCCGCCCGGTTCTGCAGTCCCGGACCGAGCGCCCCGCTCTCCCGCTCCCGGGTCCCGGCAGCTCGGGGCGGCGCTGGCACACAGTGACCTTGGCGCCAGAGCGAAGGTGAAGGCGCAGCGCGGGCGGGGAACGACGGCTCCGGGGGACGCGCTGTGCGGCTGCGGCCGGGGCTCCCGGGCCCCTCTGCGACCCGGGGGGGAGAGGCCGGGCTTCCGGGGCGCGGGGTCCGCACGCCCAGGGCCGGGGGGGCTGCCGGAGCTGCGCGCCGAGGTCCGGGGTGCAGGGGGCGGGGGCCGGGAGGCGCACGGGCAGGCGGGGGGCGGGGATGGGCGGGGCCGGAGGCGGAAGCTGCTACGCGGAGGCCCGGGAGGCGCACGGGGCAGGCGAGGGGTGTGGGCCTGAGCGCAGCAGCGTGGGGAGCCCTAACTGCGCCTGCGCCAGCGCCAGACTCGGGGGCGCGGGGCGCCGAGGTGCGGGCTGAGCAGGACTGGGGTGCGGGCAGCTGGGGCCGCAGGCCGGACGCAGACGGGGTGCAGGGGGCCTGGGGCCCTGAGAGCGTGGGGCGGAGCTCGCCAGAGTGGTGCGCGTGGGGCGAGGACGCGCAGCGGGTGGACTTGGGGAGCTCCGGGGGGCGGTGGGGCTCCGGGCAGAGCTCGCGGAGAGAGGAAGGGGTTCGGGTGGGGCGCGGGCCTGTGACAGGGCCGCCTGCGCACCCCGGGGGCGGAGGTGGGGGGCTGTGGGGTCCCGGCCGGGCAGAGGCCGCCCAGGAGCGACAGCTCAGCGGTTGGAGTTGCAGGGGGCGTGGGGTGCACTGCATGCAGGGGACTCAGGAGGCTGCGCTGTCGCCTGCAGGCCTGGCAGTCCGCGCGAGGCCCCTGGCTGTAGACAGCGCTGTCCACGCTGCCTGCCGGTCGCCTGGGATCCAGCTGCCCCGCCCTGCCTCCCACCATGTCCGGTGAGTAGCCCGGGGGCCCGCCAGGGTCCTTCACGTCCCGCGTCCCCCACTCCCTGCCCAGCCCGGGTCTCCAGAGATCGCAGCAGCCCCCCGTGGACTTGGGGTGTCGCACAGCAGCTGGCAAGAGGGGTGATGTATTGCATGTTTGGGGCACCTCGAGGTGGCCCCGGTTTCCTCCTCCAACATGCATTCCCGGAACAGGAAACGAAACAGCTTTCAAGGAATCTGCTCCCCCCCAGTCAGGAAGGTGGTGTTTGGGGGTCCGCAGAGCCCTGGAAATTGGCGTTGTTTATGTTTTCCAGTAAAGACCTTTTCTCCCCGAATGGCAGAGACGGGAGGCGAGACCTGGCCCGTCCAGGCGTTGCTCAGTGCGTGAAGGCTCTGTGGTCATCAGACGGGGACAAGTGAGAAGGCACTTAAAAGGAGAGCACGAAATTTCACCCCCACCCCAAACCAGATTCTAGTCTTTTGTAAGAATTCTCAGGACACTGTGCTCCAGCCAGGCTGGACTCGTCACTCACAAACACGGTCAGCGCCGAGCGAGCGAGCGAGCGAGCCACAGAACTTGGTTTTCCTCCCGGGAGATGTTTGGTGAATCGGGGCTGCTTCTGTCCTGTTTGACCTCCCTCGGGGAGCTTTTTGGGGGCCAGGCTAGAAGTCGTCTTTTGAGAGGGTGTGTGGTGGAGGATTCGTTCCCAGACCTCCGGAGAAGATTCTGGGTTTTCAGAACCTGTTTGGCGCTGTCTGCAGTGCCAGCCACGCGTGTCCCCGAGGCTGGAGGGTCCGTATGTGGCAACCTTCATGGGGACACGTAGGGCAGCCCTGGAGCGTCCGAGGGGACCCCACGGTGGGGATTCAACTCTTGGCACAAAACAAAAACTTCTTTTGAGTGTAGGGGGAAGGAAGAGGAAGAAGGCACCTGTGTTATTGTATGGGGTGGTTTGGAAGATGGGGAAAAGATAGAAATACCCATTTCTTTTTCTTTTTTTTTTTTTTTTGCTTTGTTTTGTTTTTGGTACCGGGGATCGAACTCGGGTCCTTGCGCTTGAGAGGCAGGCGGTGGAACCACGGAGCTAAATTCCTGGCCAGTAACCATTTCTTTTGTCTAAAAAAAACCTGTCTGCCACTGCAATCTGAAGGCTAGGCTTGATTTATTTTTATTTGTAGAATGACTGCTTTTTTTTTTTTTGACCCGGGTTAGAAGACAGTGACCCCTGGTCTTGGTTTTTCCCTTTGCTGTGGATACCGAAAGCCTTCCTGGTGCCATATGGGTTGGAAGTGCAGACACTGAATGGGGAGCACGGGGTGACTGTGGGTGTCTGCTTGTGCCCGGGCAAAATTTGGTGAAGGGAAGAGTCTAAAAGACAGGGCACAGTGGAATATGAACGCCTCCTAGTCAACGCCCCACCTTCTGCTACATTAAAATTCAGAATTTACCTGGACTTCACAAGACTGTGATGTATTTAGAGGTTCCTTGCTTGTTGGAGAGAGGGTTTCTCCTCGCCTTCGGGCTGTCTTGGGATTGCTTCCCAAAATCTCAGCGATGTACTCCTGACCTTAGATATTTATGTTTCTCATGTAGCAGCCACTACTCTATCCGATCCCAGTTGAAAATTTTACTTTTGCAAGTCTCCGCTTTTACAATATTTCCACGGACACTTATTTTGCCAACAAGAGCTCTGACCAAATCCAGCTATCATCAGCGTTTCTGGACATAGAAAAGGTCGATGAGCGAGTGAGATATTTCACGTTTTTGTGTAACCTTCTGGTTAGAAATAGTTCTGTGCTCTTTTGGGGGAAATGCCACAACAAAGAAATGAAAGAATTCCCTTAGCTCTGCTTGAAGTGCCTTTTATCTTTGAGGAGGGTGGAATCCGGTGACTTAAGTACAAAGTAAATAGCTGGTTATGTGGATAGAAGTGTAGCTCAGGGGAGAAAGGAAGGGATGGCTAAGGAGAACCTAAATCGTGAAGAATCCAGGCTTCTCCTCGCCGTGTGGAATCCTGCATTGCTTGCTCAGCACCTTGAATTTCACACGCCACTGTTAAGACTTTGGAGGTCCCTCAAGCCAGATAGTTTAAAACCTCAGATACTTCCTTTCCCCATCCGGGAGCTGCAAGGCCCCAGGCCCAGCGTGGGCAACACCGGCTCCTCCGAGGCCTGGCTCCTGGTCTCCCTGTGTCCTCATACGCGTGTCCCTCTGTGTGTGTCCGCGTCTTCCCGTCCTCTTCTCAGGAGGACCTAGCCCTGTGGGGTCGGGGCCATCCTGGGGACTCAGTTTACCTTCATGGCTCTTTAACACCCAGTCTCCACACAGCCACAGCCTGAGATCAGGGGGGTCAGAGTCAATCAACAAAAATTCAGTCTACATCCAGCCACATCCTGAGGTCCTGGGAGTCAAGGTAGCAGCATAAGAACTTGTGGGTGGAGAGACATTCAGAGCGTAACACCCGTTCTGACAATTCCACTGGAGTCCTCAACTATCCAACCAGTGCCAGAAGTTACTAATTATTGATTTTTGTGTTAGCTTTCTGTCACTGTGACAAATACCAGCAAAGATGACTTACAGGACAAGGGTTTGGATTTACTTCAGGTCTCAAAGAGCTCAGTCCACGGTCAGCTGCTCCAGTGGACTCAGAGTTCAGTCCATGGTCGGCTGCTCCAGTGGTCTCAGAGGGTTCAGTCCATGGTCGGCTGCCCCAGTGGACTCAGAGGGTTCAGGCCATGGTCGGCTGCTCCAAGGCAGGAGCATCATGGTGGACGGGTGTGGGGTAGATGCTCACATCTTGGTGGATGGGAAGCAGTGAATTTGAGAAAGTGAGACAGACAGAGGAAGCAGCCAGGGGCCAGACACAGCCTTCAAAGCTCTGTCCCCGGGGCCGGCGTCATCCCACTAAGCCCACCTCCAGGTAATTCCAGGGAGCCGTGAACTCATCAACAGATTAATCCCTTGATGGCTTGAGAGCCCTCACGATCCGAACACCTCCGCAAGCCCCCTCTGCACATGGCTAGGTTGGGCTCAAGCCGCCCATACGGGAGCCTCGGGGGACCTCCACATCTGGCCCTAGCAGGGACTTCTCCGTTTCTCTGTGTGCTCCCCACACTTTGCCAGGTGGAGGCAGCTCCACTTGATGACCCTCCTCAGCTGGCCATGGGGTCTTCTCACATTGTCTGCAACGCACATTGTCCGTAGAACCCCAGAGATGGAAGGCAGAGGCGGGTGTTACTGTCTGCATCCAGGTTCTCTCGGGGCTCTGCTCTCCCACAGCCCCACCTCCTGGAGCCCAGCTGCACGGAGGGCTTTGCTTCCCGAGAGTGCTGGGTCCAAGGTCTGATCTTCACTCTCGGGTCACTCCTGCCTCTTTCTTTGCCGACTTCCTTCCTTTGCTATCTTCAGTTCAGTGTATTGTCAGAGGTGGGGGAGAAGAGTTATTTCGAGAGTTCTGTGGGCTTAGGGGTTAGAGGTCACCTTGGACGCCTAGGGTTTGTGGAGGGCCCAGTGTTTTTGTCTTTGAAGGGCCCTGTAGAGCTGGGAGGGGAATGAATCACAGGGCATCCATGCCCTGGTCTAGACATTGCTGGGTGGATGGAGGCCGTATGGATTCATCTTTAGTGATGGCCCGATGGATAGTATTCTCCTGGTTTTTAGCCCTCAGCTTGGGAGGTGCATAGTCTACGCTCTGGGCTGAGCTGGCTGCCTTTCCTAGGGCACTGGACATGTAGTTCAGAAAGAGTTCCCCTCTCGGCAGTGCAAAGTAGATACGGATATGTGATAGAAGGATGGGCAATGGATAGATGATAGATAGATAGATGATGCATAAAGATAGATACATAGGTACGTAGGTGACAGACAGGTGAGTACGTGGATGAATAGATGAACAGATAGGTGGATGGATGGATGGATAAACGGATGGACAGAGGGGTGGGTGTCGGTGGATGGCAGACAGACAGAGTGGATCTTTTGCCCTGCAGGCCCAGCTTCTGCAGTCTGCTCTCTGCATTACTCTCCTCACTGAGGCGATGCCAGGAATTGCCTTTCATCCTTACCCTAGAGGGGGTGGGGATGTCAGCAGGGAGCTGTTGCTGCAGGCGCCGTTGAGCGTCCACCCACTGGAATGTGAGGCTGAGGAGCTGGCCCCAGGGACAGCCACCGAGACAGAAGCTGGGGCCTGTCCATTTTCTGCGCTATTTGGACAGCTGGTGCAGAGGGGGCCATGTGGTGTGGCGGGAAGAGATGTGGATCTTTGAGAATCACCGGTCTGTGCTTTGGCTGCCGGCCACCTGCAGTGAATTTCAATTTCTGCAGGAGCCTCACCAGCCTGCGTGCCATGTGGGTTTTCTCCGTGTTTTTACCTCTTGCCTTCCCACTCCTGTCTTTGTCCTGGCAACAAGCTACAGTGAGCTGGACAGTCCAGGTCTTGGAAAGTCGCTGTGCCATTCATCTCATTCGTGCGCACGCAGACTTAGAAGGAAAACAAAGTGACTCCCCCTTAGCCCTGATTCCTGTTGCACTGAGACATTACGACACAGAGGAGGACATTCTGGTTAATGAGACAGGGTGTGTGGTTTAGATCTAGATGTCCCCGAAAGTCTCCTGTGTCCAGAGCTGGGCTTTGGGAGGTGACGGCTCATGGGGCGCTGTGCTCATCAGTGGATCCATCATGGATGAGCTCCTGGTGAATGAGCTGTAGGAGGTGGGGCCTGGCTGGAGGAGGTCACTGGGGTGTGACCTGGATGGGTGAGTTCTTGTTCCCAGCTCCTCCCTTCTCTCTGTGCTTCCTGGTCACCAAGATGTGAGCATCCTTCCTCCTCCACACCCATCCACCATGATGCTCCTGCCTTGGAGCAGCTGAGCATGGACTGAACCCCCTGAGACCATTGGAGCAGCCGACCATGGACTGAACCCTCTGAGACCACTGGAGCAGCCGACCATGGACTGAACCCTCTGAGACCATGAGCCCAATACAACCAGTCCTGTTTTAAGTTTTGGATGTTAGGTTATTTGGTCCCAGCAATAGAAAATGAATACATTTTCTTTCTTTTTCTTCATGATAACTTGTATCATTGAGTTGAAATCTTTTTAGCTACTTCTCTCTGTGGAATTTAATTAACAGATTGGGTCACTTCAGTAAATGACACTTTTGTTTTCGAGCTGTGTGTGCATTTTTGCTGCAACCCAGGTAATCAGAGTATTGATTCCACTTTTTTCTTGTTTTCTTCTCTTTTTTCATCCACCTAAAGTAGAAGCATACTTACAAGATGAGTTTCTAACTCTCGTATAAGCTGAGTGTGATGGCACATGCCTGTAATACCCTCAGCCGGGGAGGCTGAGGCAGGAGGATTGTAAGTTTTAGCCCAGCTTGGGACAACTTAGCAAGGTCCTGTCTCAAAAAAACTTTTAAAAATGCTTGAGAACTTAACGCAGTGCAGTGATCCTGAATCAAACCTCCAGCACCACGTAAAACAAAACAGAATCAAGACAAAACAAACAAAGGAAAATAAAAATAAGATCTAATACAGTGTGAAAACACACAGCACATAGTTCTAGTATTGGAACATCAGGAAGTAGTTATATATCCCAGCTGAGTCAGCCGGAAGCTTAGGATTTGCTAGCATTCTTTCTGCATTGGTATTTGGGGTGAAAGGTTGCGTAGGAAGTGTCCCAGGTATGCACTGAAGAACGTGGTGAGCTAGCTGCATGCGATGCATGAGTTAGGAGAGAAAATCGGGGTCCCGTAACTGCAGGGTCCCGTATATCCTTCGAGAGGGTAACCATGGCGTTCTCATCTGTCCACAGTGACCGACCAGGCCTTCGTGACCTTGGCTACCAATGACCTCTACTGCCAGGGCGCGTTGGTTGTGGGCCAGTCCTTGAGGAACCACAGGACCGTGAGGAAGCTGGTGGTGCTGATCACACCGCAGGTGTCTGGCCCGCTCAGGTAAGAGGCAGAGACAGATGCTAAAACCATAAGAAAATTGCAGCAAAATGTCAATATAGACAACATTTTCATAAAGGGGAGGCTGAGGCAGGAGGATTTCCAAGTTCTAGCCCAGTCTGGGCAACTCAAGAGACTGAGCTAGACCTTGTTCCAAAGTAACAACTTTTTAAGTTGTTGTCAAGGTGCTGGGATGTGGCTCAAAGCTCTGGGTTCAATTCCCAGGACCAAAAAGAAAACAAAAAAAAGCCGTCTGAATTCAATTTTAAAAGCAACTATTGTGGAGAACTTGTGGCGGGTCATATTTGAGGTTTAGAAGAAACAGTTGATCTCGGCAGTGAAACCGAGCGGAGTTTGGGGCGATGATGCAGACGGACGTCAGTGTCAGAAGAAGTAGAAAATTCCCACTGGGCGTGGAGAGAAATGAGGAAGGTTTGTCTTGAGGGGGCTCCCTTTCTGTTGCCAGTGAAACGTGGGTCAGAATAACTTACGAATGTGAAGGGAAAGTTGCAGAGAGAAGACTCAGAAGAAAATAACCCACCGGGTGGCTCAGCTTGGAAGTTGGAGATAGGGAGGCCAGGGTTTCCCCGTGGGGGTCTGTGCTGGGCACCTCGGGGTGTGGAGCAGCCTCTCTGGGCTCCAGCTTCTCGGCACCAGCAGCCTCGTGTTGTCCCACAGTTGAGACGACCGAAAATATCTCCAGGAGTTGTTGTAAATGCGTGAGCTAAGGATTCTATAAGTTAAACAAAGGGAAGTAGGAAATCGGAGAAGCTGTCCATGTTTAGAAATTAAAGCAAACTGCCAAACGTGTTTACAGTATTTGTAGTGGGACGGTCGGGTATTGTCCAGCGTGCGTAAAGAGCTCTTACAAACACTGAGCAGAGAGACAAATACGGAAAAAGCAGTAGACGTGAATAATGAATGCCTATTCAGCTGTTTTTGTTTATTTCTTTATTTTTTGGTATCAGGGATCGAACTCTGGACCTTGCACTTGCCAGGCAGGGGGCAGGCACCACTGAGCTACATCCCCAGCGAGCTGTTTATACTTAAAAGCAAAAGAGACCTGGCAAAGACATTTACCATATTTGCAATGCATAGATTGGTTATTGACCAGCATATGTAAAAACTACTGTGTGTGTGTGTGCGCGTGCGCGTGTGCACGCATGTGTCCCGGGAGTTGAACCCAGAATCTTTGTACTAAGATACATCCTCAACCCTTTATTATTTCTTAGTTTGAGTCACGGTCTTCCTGAGTTTCTGTCTGCGTGTTTGTCGTGTGTCTTTACCAGGGTCATCCTCTCACGGGTGTTTGACGAGATGATTGTGGTGAACCTCTTGGACAGTGAAGACTACGCCCACCTCACCTTCCTGAAGAGACCAGAGCTGGGCATCACCCTCACCAAGCTCCACTGTTGGACGCTCACCCAGTACAGCAAGTGCGTCTTCCTGGATGCAGACACTTTGGTAAGTCATGGGGCAGGGAGGGGAGACAGGCACCATATTCTCCACTTGATGAGGAATCTGTCAAAGATCAGCCCTCTGGATGCTGAACCTGGATGTTGGTCCTTGCTGGTAGATTCCTGGATTGGTCAGTTTTCTGTTGTTTGGAGGGACTATCACTATACATAAATTAGAGGAGGAGAGTTTTATTGGGGTCATGGTTTCAGAGGGTTCAGTCCATGGTCGGCTGCTCCAGTGGTCTCAGGGTTCAGTCCATGGTTGGCTGCTCCAATGGTCTCAGGGTTCAGTCCATGGTCGGCTGGTCCAATGGTCTCAGAGGGTTCAGTCCATGATCACCTGCTCCAGTGGTCTCAGAGGGTTCAGTCCATGGTCACCTGCTCCAATGGTCTCAGGGGGTTCAGTCCATGGTCGGTTGCTCCAATGATCTCAGAAAGTTCAGTCCATGGTCAGCTGCTCCAGTGGTCTCAGAAAGTTCAGTCCATGGTTGGCTGCCCCAAAGCAGGAACATCATGGTGGACCGGCATGGAAGAAGAAAGATGCTCACATCAGGGTGGCCGGGAAGCAGAGGAGAGAAGGGAGGATCTGAGGACAAGAACTCACCCTTCCAGGTCACACCCCAGTGAGCTCCTCCAACCAGGCCCCACCTCCTACACCACATTCAGCCATGAGTCATTCATGGATGAATCCACTGATGAGCGCAGCGCTTCCACACATGAGAATTTGGGGGAGCATTTTAGATGTAAACCATAACAGTCACTCACATCAAACCGTACACAGTTTTGAGGAGGAAGCTTCCATGAGGCTCATGGTTGGAGAGGGTGCAGTTCATAATTGGCCGACTCCAAGGCAGGAACAACATGGCAGGAAGGTGTGGTGGAGGAAAGCTGCTGACCTCATGGCAGCCAGGAACCAGAGAGCAAGCAAAGAGCCAGAGTCAAAAGGGCCAGGCGCCAGATAGGGTCCCCAGGGTGAAACCTTCATGACCCCCAGACACCTTCAGAAGTCTGCTTCACTAGTCTCCTAGACATCCATCAAGCCAGTTAAGTTGATGCCGAAGAGGACCATCAGAATTCCCATGAGGCATTGTGTATTTCTGCATCTAAGGTGGATCTTGAGCCCATCAGAACCAGTCATGAAAACCAGCCCTGGGCTCCACCTTTCTGAGGGTACTCAAGTGTTTGAAGAGATGTCCTTTCTAGAGGAACGGTTGATGGTGACATCACTGTCTCATCTACTGCAAGTAGCAAAATTGGAAGGCACTATTTGCCTTGAGAGTATATTGAGCTGTGTGTTCCTGATTGGACTTGTACATCCTGCATTGCCAGGTACAGCGTTGCCTAGTTGTTATTTGGCATTGTTACCTGTAGGATAAAATATACGGCATATACACCAACCTGTGTATTCGAGAACATTGTAATTGGTAGGCTCCCCGAGGCAGCTGATCTTATCATGTTGAATTGCAGGCTGACCTATTGATGGATTTCCATAGTTTCTTGGGTTACACTTGCTAGAGTAAGGAGGACATAGAATTGAGAGAATTCCATGGGAATGTTATGGCTTGCATCCAAAATGTTCCCAGAGCCTCGTGTGTTCAGATGTGGGGCTTTGGAAGGTGCTTGGATAACAGGGTTGCCGTGTTCATCAGTGGATTCATCCATTGATGAGTTCGTAGCTGAATGTGGTGTTCGGAGTTTAGCCCTGGTTGGAAGACTCAGGTCACTGTGGGCCATGACCTGCAAGGCTTTATCTCCCTTAATGGCCTCTCCCTTCTCTCTCTGCTTCCCGGTCTCCATGATGTGAGCATCTTTCCTCCACCACTCCCATCTGTCCTGATGTTGCTGCTTTGGAGCAGCCGACCATGGACTGAACCCTCTGAGACCACGGGAGCAGCCAGCCATGGACTGAACCCTCTGAGACCACGGGAGCAGCCAGCCATGGACTGAACCCTCTG